ATTCGATTAAGAAGATGACAATCTCTGATACCGAATCCATGGCGGACATCGGAATTTGTGACTTTCCGTGCACTACGGAGGAGGAGAGACGTATCGTGACGGAGATGACTAAAGAAGCGGAGGCTAATTTGAAAGAGGGAAACTTGTATTTCGTCATCTCAAACAGGTTTGAGTTTCCTATGTCCTGTTTCTTATGCATTGCAATCTCTTTGTCCTGTTTTAGCTTTTACTTGATCTTTTTGACTTTAGGGTTTCATGGGCTCAGGGTTTTGGGCAGCAGATTGCATGATCTTCATTCCTTTAGTAGTGTTGTAAACTTCCTTGTTCAAATTTAGAGTGTTGTTTGTCTGTTGGCTTGTTCAAGTTCATTCACTTGTTGTATCCATCTATAGCTTGGATGTTGTTTACAGTGTGCGCATTGTGTATCACTCTTCAAATTTTGGTTGTATTTAACGGGGTTTCGTTCGTGGTGCAGGTGGTATACAAGCTGGGAGAGATGTGTTGGGATACCAACAGAAGAATTTTCAAGTGTAGAGCTTTCAGAAGCTGCCAGGCCCGGACCAATTGACAATCATGATATTATTGAAAGTGAAAGTGACGCTAGTGATCCACAGCTTCGTCGGATGTTAGAGGAAGGGGTCGACTACGTTTTAGTTCCTCAAGAAGTTTGGAGAAAACTTGTGGAATGGTGATTGTTTCCTCTAATACTACCAAAATAGGAAACTTCATGTTACAAACTACCAGTTTATCTTATCTAATATAATAGCTTTCGAAGGGCTAAATCTGATCCTAAATCTTTCAGGTATAAAGGAGGTCCTCCATTACCAAGGAAGTTGATCAGTCAAGGGTTTTTCAATAAGAACTATAGTGTGGAGGTTTACCCACTTTGTCTTCAGTTGACAGACGATAGAGACGGACCTAGTACGACCATAAGGTTGAGCAAACAGGTATGGTTCCCCCTCATACTACTCTTGCAACTGTGGTGTAGGTTGTGATCATTTGTAGTGTTTATACAAAGTGAAGGACTCTGTGTTTTAATTTTTGTCACATGCTTTGTTCTCTTCTGATATGGATCGTTGATGTGTCAGGCTTCTATTAGTCAACTTTATGAGATGGTTTGTGCTGTAAAAGGGGTAGCGAAAGAAAAGGTGTGTGCTCTTCTTCCTTGTCTTTGGCAATGGGATACCCCGTTGTTTGATTGAGAGATGTATTTGTTGCTTGATATTAATATGTATAAGCAGGCTCGCATCTGGGATTACTATGAGAAGAGGAAAATGAAACTCTTGGATCCTTCATCTGACTTGAGCTTGGAGGAATCGAGCCTTCAAAGAGACCAAGATGTAAGTGTCTTTAAAATTCTCTCTGGTACATGACAGCTTTTGATGGATTTCTCTTTGTCTTTTGCTCAATTATTGTTAATTGATAAGGTCACTATGAATATTCTGTCATCATAAATTCTTTTATTTGATGGAATACCTTGAATAGATGCTTCTTGTTGCTGATCTGTATTCGTTCTCAATGTTTTTGGTGAATTATTTTGTGCTTTTGCATTGAACCAAAATCTCATTTGGCTTTATTTTATATGATTGGCATTGACGTGTGCATTCCACCGCAGATTCTTCTTGAAGTCGATGGGTCTGAATCTTCTCAATATGACATAAGCTTGGCAGGAAATGAGTTAGCTCTGGTACCTCTAGAGGCTACAATGTCAGATGCTACGGATCTTATGCTTGATGGGGGGACCTTATCTTATGGTCATTCCAATGGTTCCAAGTTTTGGAGAAACGCATCTGAAGATGATGCTTGTGATTCCTCGAGTGCTTTTGGGAAAGGAAAGAGGAGGGGTTTAGGAGGATTGCAAAATTTGGGAAACACATGCTTCATGAACAGTACTCTCCAGTGTTTGGCCCATACACCGCCTATTGTTGAATATTTTCTACAAGATTACAGTAACGACATAAATACAGAGAATCCTTTGGGAATGCGTGTAAGAATTTGAGATATTTAGTATCTGTTTACAATCTCCCATGTGAAGCCATTTAAACGAATCATTTTCTAATACAGGGTGAGCTTGCGACTGCATTCGGTGAACTTTTGAGGAAATTGTGGTCATCTGGACAGAATACAGTTGTGCCACGCTCTTTCAAGGCAAAATTGGCTCGATTTGCTCCACGATTTAGTGGTTATAATCAGCATGATTCTCAAGTAAGTCATGTACTCCATATTGGTTATGGTTCACGTTTTACAGTCCGAGATATCTGCTGTATATTGGTATTTCTGCTGGTTTTGTACTTTCTCTCACACAAGGAAACCAGTGTCTTCTTTATCTCTTCATGCAATATATATTAACTCATTATTTCCAGGAAATGCTTGCTTTCCTATTGGATGGGCTCCACGAAGATTTGAACAAGGTAAAACGAAAACCTTACATTGAAGCTAAAGATTCAGATGGTCATCCAGATGATGAAGTAGCCGAAGAGTTGTGGAAATATCACAAGGCTCGAAACGACTCTGTGATCGTTGATGTCTGCCAAGTAGCATCTCTTACCTCTCTTGTAACCTCTTTTCCACCTAAATGCTTTAATTATGTCCCTTCTGACTGTTCCTTATGTTGTTTGTGTTTTCACTCAGGGACAATACAAGTCAACACTAGTCTGCCCAGATTGTGGAAAAATCTCAGTCACCTTTGATCCCTTTATGTACTTATCTTTGCCATTGCCATCAACTCGCACTCGATCAATGACAGTTGCAGTGTTTTATGGTGATGAAAGCCGTCTTTGGACGCCATACACTGTAACAGTTCTTAAAGATGGTTCTTGTAGAGATCTCACTAATGCATTAGGCACTGCTTGCTGCTTGAATAATGATGAAAGCCTTGTACTCGCAGAGGTAAGAGTTTCAGCGATTCCCTTTCTTATATATTCGTTGTCCTTAACTTCCTGTAAAAAAAGACTGAACTGAACTGTAAGGTTTTCCCTCCCAGGTTTATGATCACAAGATCTTTAGATATTTTGAAGATCCCCTGGAGTCGTTGACTGCGATAAGAGACAATGAGCGTATTGTGGCATATCGGTTCAACCATATGCACAAAGGACAAGGGAAAGTCAAACTCGAAATTCTTCATGGAGAGCTGGAAAAGTCAGTTTGCTTACTTTTTAATCTTTCATTCAAGAATTCTTCTTCTTTCTTCTTGAGCTGCGCTTCTAATGGATTATAACTTTCAAAAATCACAGGTCTATTCTGACTTTTGTAAGTCGCAGCCCAAAGCGCTTTGGAATTCCTCTTGTCACTTATATCAACGCAGAACCACTTAGTGGAATTGACATTGATGCAATTATCTCTGGATTGCTGTCACCTCTGAACCGGATTCATTCATCATCTATAGTTGATAATGGAGAGGAAAAAAGGCACATTCCAGATGTTGCTGATGAAACATCCGGAAGGTTATCTTCTAAAGACGTTGAAACGGAAAATAACACGCCTGATGATAGACAGTTATCCTTTAGCCTCTTCTTGACAGATCGACATTTTTTCAGTGTCAAGCCACTTGAGTCCGATTCAGTTGTGAAACCTGGTAGTGTTACAAGTGTTCTGGTCCAGTGGAACGAGAAAGAGCATGAACAATATGATTCCAGCTACTTAAATGATCTACCAGTGATTTATAAAACAGATTTCTTTGCAAAGAAGGCGGCGGAGCAAGAGAGGATATCTTTGTTTTCGTGTTTGGAAGCTTTTCTAGCAGAAGAGCCTCTTGGACCAGATGATATGTGGTATTGTCCTGGTTGCAAAGAACACAGACAAGCCAACAAGAAGCTAGACTTGTGGAAGTTGCCAGATATCCTTGTTGTCCACCTGAAACGGTTCACGTTTAGTAGATATTTCAAGAACAAGATTGATACATTTGTGAATTTTCCGATTCATGATCTAGACTTGAGCAAGTATGTGAAGAACAAAGATGGCCAGTCATACCTTTATGAGTTGTATGCCATTAGCAATCATTATGGTTTCATGGGCGATGGTCACTACACCGCCTTTGCTAAGGTTTGTGACATCGATTTGTTCCTTTTGCTTTATATATTGAATTTGAATCCCTAATGAGTCTAATGACAAATGCATTGAAACTAATGGTGTGTGCTGTTTGTTTCTGCAGTTGATGGATGAAAACGAATGGTACGATTTCAATGACAGCCATGTTTCAGGTGTAAATGAATCTGAGCTCAAGACTTCGGCCGCATACGTTTTGTTCTATCAAAGAGTGAAGAAAAGTGAACCAGAGAAATCGAATATGGATATGGATTAGCCAAGAAGCTCTTCAATCTTTAGGATTCATGACAAAGTTTGTTGTTTTACTCAAGATTCATTAGGCTCGTTACTCTATTGTTTTGATTGGGGAGCTTTTTCCCAGTGAAGGGGGAAATTTTGGATAGTGAGAAAACATATTATAGAAGGTAAAGGTGAGAGATAAAAGTGGGCATAACATTGTGGGTGATTGGTTCGGCTGTAGCTGTAGATTAATTGCTGTAGAATTTTTGCTGTAAATGTTTTAAGCTGTAGCTGTAATATTAAAATAAAAACACGATTGGTAACTATAAGATATGTTCTGTAGTTTTAATTAAATTAATTTATGCAAATAAAAATTGTTATAATTTAGAAATTTTATGTTGATTTGAACATAATAAATAATGAACTTTTGAATCATTCATAATAAGTAAAATCATTAAAAAAATTGTATAATCTAGAAAAGAGACTCACTGATTTGATTTGTGGTGAAGAGAAAATAAGAAAACGTGTTTCTTCAAACCTTTGTGACGGCAATATACACACACATATATATATATAGGTTAGACGTTTTTCAATTAGGTAAATCGATGTGCTTATCTTGATTTTTTCATTTTTTAAAAATATTTTTTTTTAAAAAGTAAGAGTGTANAGCCATAAAAATGGGGCTGTAGGATTTTACATGTTACAACAAAAGAAATTTNAAAAAAAATTAAAGAGGTTGTAGCTTATAGAATTAAAGCAAAAACATGATTGGTAACAAAGGATGTAGGTTTGAAACTTAAANAATTAAAGCTACAACATNATTGGTAACATAATGATGTTTTAAGAAAAATTAAGGCTGTAGACAAGGTTTAAAGTCCAACCAATCATGCACATTATTCTTAGCTTTGTTGAGATATTCAAGATATACTAGTTATTAATTACACCTTGTTCTTGCAAGTTAATCAGATTATTTTGGTCCTTTCTATTATAGTTTTTTTCTTTTTGAGCAAATTCCTTTCTTAGATAGTTATTGTTGTGTTTCCTTTCAAAGAAAATAATCATTTTTAGATTATTTTCAAAACTAGTTGAAAATTGTTGTCATTACTCATAACAAAAACTTTACAATATTTTCCATTATTATTAGGATAAGAAAAGCAACAAAATGGTCAAAAAAAATGCAAAGTGAACCAGAGACATTGAATATGGGTATAGATTTGCTGCTTTGCTCAAGATTCATAAGAGAGACTTTAGATTTACAAGATTGTTTGATTTTTTTTTTTTTTGTGACAAAAAAAAAAACGAGATTGTTTGATTAGAGTTTTTTTTTTGTGTGGAAATTCATTTCCAGTATTTCCGAGGATTTACGTGTGTATACAATAAAATTAATTAAGCCGAAGTGATGATCCTCACAATCATAATAAGAGTATATTATTGATTTGGAATATAGAAGTGAATTGAGTGTGATCCTCATGCTACATAAAAGTGCAAAATGAATTTCTAAACATAAAAATAAATATTACCTCATAATAAAATAACGAAAAATAGCCGTGACACTACAAGAAATACGCTGCTTAACGACGTTTATATGTAGAGTTAATGTCACTTATAAAGTGACTCAAAAATAATAAGGTCGGTTGCTAAACCGACGTAACATTGCCCGACGTTAGTTTTTTAAACGTCACTTTAGCAAACGACGTGTAGTTTAACGTCATAATATTTGCGTCAGTTTTATCAAGTTTAGCGACAATTTTAATTTGACTTTAAAATTTGTCCTTTACGTCACTTATGAACCGACATATGTCC